GATTAACGGTTCAGTTTCTAATATTGTTTCTGGAATCACATCTTCAGCTAAGACAACGGGTTCCTTGTTAGATGTATTTGATCCCCTTGACTTCCTCCGTTTGTTGGGTGGCGGTTCGATCTCTGGTTCGCCACGGTCGCGTGCCGCTGCTCGAGACCTTGTAACGACGAGGGTTTCTTTGTTGTCTTGAATGCTTCGCTCCGAAATACATTCCACTGGAATAACTCTTTTCAACTCAGGATCTGACGTTGACGCCAATGCGGCAAGCGCGTCCGCAGTTGTATTCTCTCCTCGAGGTATGCGGATTAATTCAAATTTCGAGAAATTTTTAGATAAATCCTTTACCACTTCGAGGTACGCTTCCATTCTTGAATCTTTGGCTTCATAGTCTCCATTAAATTGGTTAACTACTAATTGCGAATCGCAATAAGCCAATATTTCCTTAGCTCCAACTCCTTGTGCTAATCGAAGTCCGGCAATCAGGGCTTCGTATTCTGCCTCGTTGTTGGAGGCATTGAATAACAACCGGAATGATTGTTCTAGAATTTCTGACGTCGGAGACTCCAACTTGATTCCCACTCCGGATCCTTGTTTTGTTGAAGACCCATCTACGTGTAATTTCCAAGTTTGGTTCTCCGGTTGTTCTATCGTTCCAGGTATTGGTAGTTCGGTCAGGAAATCTGCTAAGACCTGAGCCTTCATACTGATCCGGCTTTTGAACTCTATGTCGTACTCGCTTAATTCCACCGCCCATTTCGCCAATCGTCCGGACTGGCTTGGACTATGAAGTATTGTTCGGAGTGGCTGGTTGGTTAATACCTCAACCGGATGGGATTGAAAGTACGGGCGTAGCTTTCGAGCCGATATCACCACTGCGAGCGCGAGTTTTTCCATCATTGTGTATCTGGTTTCTGGATCCGTCATTGTCTTGCTCACATAATAAATTGGTTTCTGCTCCCCACGGTCTTCCCGAACCAAGACTCCACTAACTGCGTGGTTTGAAACCGACACATACAAATAAAGTTTTTCATCCACTTCTGGTTTGGACAATATAGGCGGAGTGGTTAAGTATGCTTTAAGCTGCCCAAAAGCTTCTTCACACTTCTCGTCCCAAAGGAATCCTTTGTTCCCTTTTAGAATTTGGTAGAAAGGCAACGACTTATCTGTTGATCTCGAGATAAAACGATTCAGAGCCGCAATCCGCCCAGTCAACCGTTGTACTTCTTTGAAGTTTCTTGGAGAGGGCATGTTCAGAAATGCGTTGATTTGATTTGGATTGGCTTCGATTCCTCTTTCCGTCACGATATAACCAAGAAATTCTCCGGATGGGACTCCAAATGTGCACTTCGCCGGGTTCAGCTTCATTTGATATTTATTGAGAATATCAAAACATTCCTCTAAATGCTTAACGTGATCCTCTTTCTTTAACGACTTAACCAACATATCATCTATGTAGACTTCCATTGTTTTCCCGAGATGATTATGGAACATCTCGTTAACCAGCCGTTGGTAAGTTGCTCCTGCATTTTTCAAACCAAAAGGCATTACCTTGTAACAATAGATACCTCTATCAGTAATGAATGACGTCTTTTCTTGATCTTCGGGGTTCATCATTATTTGATTATAACCCGAGAAGGCGTCCATGAATGTTAACAACTCGTTCCCAGCGGTGGACTCTACAAGTCGATCTATATGTGGGAGCGGGAAACTATCTTTGGGACATGCTTTATTTAGGTCTGTGAAATCGATGCAAACCCTATCTTTCCCGTTCTTCTTTTTGACGACGACAGTGTTTGCTATCCATTCCGGGTATTGCACTTCTCTTATGGATCCTATCTTCAAAAGTTTATCTACTTCGTCATTTACTATTTTGGCTCGCTCCACTCTGAGCTTTCTTCTTTTCTGTTTCACCGGTTTGAAGCTCGGATCTACGTTTAGCTCGTGACAAATTATACTTGGATCTATACCAGGCATGTCTGCTGCTGACCATGCAAACGATGTTTTGTTTCTCTTTAAAAGTTCGATCAAAGCTTCTTTTATTTGGCCAGTCAGAGTTGCTCCAATTCGAATTTTCCGGTCCGGCTTGTCTTCTTCCAACACCACTTCGATTACTACATCATTTTTCTTCTGCCCGCTAGGAAATTTTGTTCTTAGTCCCTCTTTTACGGGCTTCGTTAGTTGCTATTGAATCTTCATACGGTGGCTAGCTAGGTAACACGTCCGTGAAGCTTCTTGATCTCCCCGAATTGTTTCCACCCCATTTGATGTTGGAAATTTGATACATTGATGGTATGTAGAGGGGACTGCTTTCATTCGATAAATCCAGGGAGTCCCAAGGATGATGTTGTAAGCTGCGGGTTTATCGAAGACAACGAAGTCCACGATCTTCGATACCTTCTTGGCAAGGACCGGTAGCTTGATTGTTCCGAGAGACATGGCTGACTCGCTTGTGAACGCAACTAACGGAGATGGGGGTCCTACTATGTCCCCTCGGCTGATTCCCATTCTTTCTAGAGTACTTAAAAAGATCAAATCGACCGAACTGCCTGTATCTATAAGGATCCTTGATACTTCGAAGTTAGCCACGTCAAGGGTAATGACTAGAGCATCATCATGCGGCCTTTCGAGGTACCGCGTTTCTTCTTCATTAAATGATATTGATGTACCTTGAAAATCGACTTCCTCGCTTAAGCTTGCTTTGAATAGGATATTTCGTCTATGTTTCTTGATGGAACTTATCGAATCTCCGCAAAACTTGGAACCTCCTAGAATCACATTGATCTTACCCTTCGAACTCCTTGGTTCTTCCTCGTTGGATAACCTTGGTCTTTTGGAATCTTGATCTTTGGAGTTTTCATTCGCTTCGTGGTATTCCTTCACAAAATCTTTTATATTGAATTTGGAAAGATCTCCACTGGCCCAAAGCTCTGCGAGGTGCTTTTTAAGAATGCTGCAATCCTTGGTTAAATGCCCGGTTACTTTATGAATATCGCAATATAGACTTTCATCACGGACCCAAGTGTTTGATCTTCCTTTCCCTTGGAATTGCTTTCCGACGGTACTGTTGAAGGGTTGCGACCCAAATTTCCTTGGTCCTTTGCTCTCCCTAGACTCGAACTTCTTGGTAGGGACAGTGATTGCCGGCTTTTCTTGTTTATTCCTTTTGGCAAAACTTTCTTTTTCGTCCTCTACCTCCATCCAGTTATTCGCGCGGAAGAGTGCATCCTGAATTGTGTCTGGTTTATGAAGTATTAAGTCTTCTTTAAACCTTGAATCATGTCGCAATCCTTTTCGTAGGGCAGATAAAGCTGATTGATGCGAGATTCTTGGGAGCTTTGATAGCACTCCTTTGAATTTGGTGATAAAAACTCAAAGCGACTCATTAGATCCTTGCGATAAGTTCCAAAGATCGGCATCCGAAACGCTTTTATCCATAAGGATGGAGTATTGCTTTAAGAATACGGCTGATAGTTCGTCGAAATTGCTGATCGAACCCGGCTCTAATTGGGTAAACCACATTAGAGCTTGGCCACATAGATTCTCCGAAAAAAGCTTGCAGTAGCCTGCGTCCTCATCAGCTTCATCCAACTCGACTCTTCCAGCAGCGATCAGAAAAGCTGCGAGATAGCTTTTTGGATCCTCCAATCCGCTGTAAGGGTCCAACTTGAGTTTCCGGGAATCTTTGATCCTCAAACTTGCAATTCGCGAGATGAAAGGTGTTCGCCTAGCCTCTTCAATGACTCGATTGATGTCTGGCTCCGAACTTGTAGCTTGATGAAATTTTGATTTCATTTCTTTTAATTCCTGGCTAACCTTCCTCATGGTCTCAAACTGGTCGAGGTTCTCCTGCTCGTATTGAGCTGCAAGTTGTTCTTCATCTCCGAGCTGTGTCTCTTCTTCCAACGTCTGAGCCACGTTATTAGTAGCACCAGGAGTTGTTTGTCCGCTGGTTTCATTTCGTGCAGCGGAACTTGGCGAGTTGAATATCCCTCTTCGGATTCCCACAAGGTTTCCTGCACTTAAAGAGCGAACACGAGTTTGTATAGTATTGACGTTTTGACTAAGAGATACCTGGGATGTTTGCAACGTATCGACGGCTTTTTCCACATCCGAGAACTTTTGTGATATGTCCGACATGGTTTGCTGCATAGCTTTGAGGGTTTCAGCCAATGATGTCTCAACGGTGTCTCCTCCGGACATTGTTGCTTATCTCGGAAGTGTGATAAAGGAAAAATCTGACCACTCAAGAATCCTAATGTCTCCCCACAGGCGGCGCCAAAATGTGGATGTCGGATTCACACACTCAAGTATTCTATTAAGTAGGAAAGATTATTCTTGAGGGGCAAAAAATGAATATGTAAAAAGCTTATGAATTGCTACGAAAATTGCTATATTCTTTCTTTCTCGAGAGGCCGATCCCCTTTTACATGATCATTGGCCTTTTATTTATACATAGAGAAACGACATTAAAATGAGTAATTAAGTACAATTATTCCTTCTTAAATGCGTCCGTTTTGATTCTTCGACTTTAATGCTCAACGTTTGAATTTGAGTTGACTCTGATCTTCTTGGGCCTCGCCTTTTCGGCCCAAGTCTCCTCGAACTGACTTACCCGTGTCTTCTACACCGAACTCGTACCACAGTGCAGTCACTTCGGATTCTCGAAGTGGTGATAACCACTTCGACCGTTCCTTCGGCTCATGGGCTCAACGGGTTTTGCCCTTTATGGGCCATTACCTTGACTACGTGGCAATCTTTGGTTGGTCCCGGACTTCTGGTGCGGGATCCGACACCAACAGACATTATGAAACAAGTCGGTTTCATAAGAAGATTCTAGAGATAATTTTAAGACCTAATCCTAATGTGTTTAAGTCGGTTTAAAGTCTCTATATATAGAGGTACCAAGGTGTGGTAACCCTATGAGTTTTTAGAGAGTTTAGAGATTGTGTAAGCTTAGGGTTTTTGAGTTAGTTTTCCTTGAGCAATAAAGAAAAGTGTTCTTTAGATTACATAGTCTTGTTCTTATATCATAGTGTTTCATTCAATACATCTAACACACCACATGATACCAAGAACACAACAAGACATAGCTTTGAGAGTTCATAAGACAACCATATCCAGAGACAGAGCTGTCTGGTCTTGAGAAGCTCGTGGTTGAAAGTTTAGAAGGAAAAAAAAATTAAAACTGGAATGTATTATCAAAGACCACAAAATCTAATAAAAGCAAAAACAGTATGTCTCAGGTATCAAAAGCTGAGACTTTCAGCTTGGTACTCAAGCCGGAGAGCCACAACCGGAAAGGTGTTGAGGATCCTTACACGAATCTCTCTTGATTTTCTCCAGCAATTAAGGTCGTCTTCAGCCCTTCCTGTCTTTACTCCATATTTGAAGGAGTAAGTTACATTGCATGGCTCAGTGGTGAACAAAATTGAGTTCACACTCACACCACAATCAACAGGAAGCTCCTTAGCCGAGCAGCAAACATTTCCAAAGTGTCTAATAAACAACACACGGTCTCCCAGATTGTTGACCTCAACCCATTTACCAGCCTCCTCATCTAGCCTACTCACTCTACATATAAACCGCTTAAAATTTATTCGACCACATTCAGGAAATGGGTTGAATTTCTCAACCAGGAAAAGCTCATCATTGCCAGATGCAATCAGATAATTGCTTGATCGTAGAGGCTCAGAGGGCATCATGGGAGTCTATTGCATCGTATAAGGATCGAAAATGAAAATGTCCCCGTTTAGAAAGGCTGCATAAAATCTACCTCTAAAAGCGACTAAATCCGAGCATGAAGCATCTGATGTTACCTTAAGCTGCATCCATCTCATTTCAGTGCTTCTTAACACATACAAATTTTTAGTGTAGTTGAGGAGCACAACAAATTCTTCTCCTCGTCCCTCCTTGTTTAGCGGAAGAAACGCCACGCCTCTGTAATATGTTGCCCAATCTTCAGGATCCCAACCCATTATTCTGTATTGATATCCCAGAGGGATAATCTGGCAGCCGGGAATGTTCATCAAGGTTGGTTTCTCTTTCGCGGGCAACCCGCAAACCCGCAATCCGCAACGGGCTTACCCGCTTGAATCCGCGATCCGCAATGGGCCTGTCCGCTAGGCCCGCTAATCTATGGACAAAAAATTTAATGTCCAAGCCCGCCCCGCCATGGGCTACTTGGACGAAACCCGCGGGCTATTGGCCCGCTTGACACCTCTAGCGGCGGCGGTCGTTGGAGTTGAGATATGTTTGATGTCTCTTAGGTATCTTAGTTTGATGTTTTAGGTTGATAGTTTTGATGTGTTAGTGTATTCACACATGATTCTTGTCTTTGATGGTTAGTAGTTGGTCTCTCGTTTGACACATGCATCTGGTCTCTTTATTTTTAAACTCTTGTAGTAATTGCTGAGTCTGAGTTAGATTTATAATCTTAGGTTGATACTTGATTTGATACTTGTTTGATAGTTGATTTTACTTGTTTCATACTAGTAATGACTTGTTTGATACTTGTTATGAATTGTTTGACTTGTTTGATATTTGTTTTGACTTCTTTGCTTGTTTTGATTTGTTTGATACTATTAACTTCTTCACTTGTTTACAAATGCTGCAGGTTCAATCTACTTGTTTCATACTAGTAATGACTTGTTTGATACTTGTTATGAATTGTTTTGACTTGTTTGATATTTGTTTTTACTTGTTTACTTGTTTTGATTTGTTTGATACTATTAACTTCTTCACTTGTTTACAAATGCTGCAGGTTTGAGCGCGATGAAAAATCAAGACTTGTTAGGAAGATTACTAAAATCTTTACTAACAAATTTGATGGTCCTTATTATAGTTGGACTTGTGTGCCTCGTGCGAGACAAGAAAGATACTTCCTCGAGTTTGCGGTAAAGTCTTATGTCCTATAGCCTTCAAATCTGGTTGCATTTTTGTTCTTCCACTAACTCTGGTCTTGATGTCTTTGTGTTGTAGAAAACCCACACCTGGGATCCCTTGATAACAGGGACAGTTCAATGGTGGTTCGAGGAAATCTGTGGACGCCGGATGAAGGACATGGTAAGCAACGCAAGGACGAGTCGTGAAAAACCCGACTGGATCTATGAAGATACCTGGAAAATAATGGTTGCGTATTGGGATACTGAAGAAGCACAGAAGAGGAGTCAGATTTATTCAAAGGCTCGTATGTCTGACCGTAATGGTCTCGGTCCTCACATCCACTTGTCAGGGCCAAAGTCATATCAGCAAATCCAATACGAATTGGTTAGTATATCTGTCTTTTTCTATCACTCTTTTGTTCTATGATTTTGTGCTAATCATTACATATTTTGAAACATCGCAGGAAGAACTATTGGGAAGACCAGTGAGTCTTGGTGAGGTCTTCATTAAGACTCATACAAGGGCTGATGGTTCTTTTGTGGATCGGAAGGCAGAGAAAATAGCTAAGGTTTATGAGAAGAATGTGCAACAGAAGTTGTCTGAGCTGGAGGTATATGATTCGGACGGCGCTTCACGACCTCGAGAGCTAACAACAGATGAATATACAGCCATATTTCTTCACGTTAAGTACAATTTATCACAATCCACATATATTGTTTTTTGACTTTTATAGAGTTCTAATCTACATTCTTTTTCTCTTGTCATTCACAGTCCACTGAGAAGGATTCAAGAGGAACTCTCTATGGAGTTGGCAGCCTCAAGGGAATTCTTAAAAATGGCAAGCGCAAGCAACCCGGAGACTCTGCATCTTTTGTGGCAATCCAAGAGCAACTGAAGGAAGCTCAAAAAAAAATCGAAGAGCAGGCTGCTGAAAATACAAGGCGTGAAAAAGAGCAAAAGGAGAAGCTCGAGCACTTGTCCTTGGTGGAGAAGTACCTCCGACAAACTGATCCAGCCTTTTTGGACTTCATGAAGACTCATTCGGCTGCAGAAACCACAGAGCCTCTCTCAACCGGTCTTCCCCCAACTTCTTGAACTCCTATCTATCAGCTTCTTGTTTAGGTTCCTTTTAAATCTTTCCCCAAGTACATAAACTAAGTTCTTCTCTCAGTTGTTTTAAAGACTTGTTTTTGTTTGGTATGACTCAACTTTGTTTCTTTTAAATGAAGTGAATCTATGTTTTTAGCTTATTTACTTTTCAATTTAGTATTTCAATTTAGCATTTTAGGTCAATGCAAAATAGAAAATCGAACATGCCATTTTTCTTCTAAATACAGTCGCCAAACAGTCGTAAATCAGTTGGAAAATAGTCACTATAATCTTTACGACTACACTACAATATATGCAGATTAGTCGTAACATAGTCGTAACATAGTCGTTAAATTTAACGACTATGTTACGACTACTGTTACGACTGCACCCTATAGTCGTAACGTAGTCGGTAAATAACGACTGAAATTACGACTATAACATTTAGCGACTCTCGATTTACGACTACCGCTTATAGTCGTAACTTAGTCGTAACTTGTCTTTTAACGACTACATTACGACTAATATTGCAGTCGTAAATCAGCTGTTTTCTTGTAGTGAATTAAACTCCAGTTTCCCCCCAAATCAAAAGTTCGAGACCTTTGGTCCCCAAAATTTTGAATTTTGTAGTTTAGCTCTGGTTTACTGTACCGAACCGATGCCAAACCAAAACCTAGTAGAATAAACCGAAATCTATCCTCTCCAAAAATCTATCATCTTCTTTAAAACTCTTTTCCGGATTCGTAGCTTTGCAATATCCGTCGATCAACGTGATGTTAATCTCCTTCAACAATGGCGGAACAATCTTAACTCAATAATCTCATATTATCGAATTTGTTTGGAGATACATATTATCGAATTTGTTTGGAGTCATAACGTCGTTAAAGACAGAGATCGTAGGGTCATTTTTGTAATTCGAACAAGCTTTCTTTAAAGCTACCGCGACGGTGACGAGGAGATCACGTACCGCGACGGCGATGATATCAGAGCAAGAGACTGTGTTGGGACAAGCGAGTTCTAGAGCTGTTTTAGCGCGGATCACGACGTCGAATCCGTCGCCGGGGAGAAAGAGGTTGATTGATGAATCGCGTTCGGCGGTGTTGAAAGTGGTTGAGGAAACGAGGACGGAGGCATCGCAGCCGTTAGGGAAACAGTCGTGGAAGAAGAGGCGGAGAGCTGCGGCGGCTAGAGGTGTCAGACGGGCCAGCCCGCGCCCATCTAGCACGACTCACGACTAGAGAGAATCAATCAAACAAAAGTAAAACATCTAAATAACTTACCATTACAAGTGTGTAGTTCTCAGTTGCTCTTTTTTGACTTGAAATCTGAAGCTTCGACGATCTAAATTTTTTGGATGTGGTCGTAAAAAAGAAACTTGAAGAGATAGAGAATGACTCTTCAGTTTCCTTGTTAAGCAATTGATCGTGAAGTCACTTTGATTAATGATTAGGGTTTTTGAATTGCACAAGAAACTCTAACAGAGACAAAAGGTTTGAAATAGAGGTTTGAAACTCAAACTTTGAAAAAATCTACGAGAAACAAAAGGTTTTAAAAGAGTTGGTTTCTCTTTCGCGGGCAACCCGCAAACCCGCAATCCGCAACGGGCTTACCCGCTTGAATCCGCGATCCGCAATGGGCCTGTCCGCTAGGCCCGCTAATCTATGGACAAAAAATTTAATGTCCAAGCCCGCCCCGCCATGGGCTACTTGGACGAAACCCGCGGGCTATTGGCCCGCTTGACACCTCTAGCGGCGGCGGTCGTTGGAGTTGAGATCTGTTTGTTGGTGATGGTTTCGCGGATAATGTCGAGGAATTTAAGGCAAGATTTGGAGTAGAAATCGACGGTGAGGTGAGATTCGGCGGCGGAGGATAGTGATTGGAAGGTGAAGCAGAGGATGATGATGTTGATGGTGAGATTATTGAGTTGAGATTGTTCCGCCATTGTTGAAGCAGAGGATGATGATGGTGATGGTGAGATTATTGAGTTGAAAATTAATGAAATTTTGAAATTAATTACAAAATTCAATGCTCGATTATGTTTAATTAAGTTTAAGGATTTCAATTCGGTTTAGTAATTCGGTTTATTCTACTGGGTTTTGGTTTGGCATCGGTTCGGTACAGTAAACCAGAGATAAACCACAAAATTCAAAATTTTGGGGACCAAGGTCTCGAACTTTTGATTTGGGGGGAAACTGGAGTTTAACTTCTGATCTGTGTGGACTGCGGTCGAGGTCCGAATTCTGTGTAGTTGTGATACTATATGAAACTTCCTAGGGGGACACAGGTCGTTTACCCTTTTTATTTAGATGTTTTTTTTTACGACTAGATTTATTATTTATTGCAAATTATGAGAACTGTTACATAGACGATTCTACAACGGACAATTCCTTCTGGCCTTTATTAGATCCACGACAGACGACACTTCCTTCTCCATGCTCTTGACGGACACCTTCAATTATCCACGACCTGACGACACTTCTCTCTCTCTGTGTAGAATCCTGGCGAACGGCTATAATTGTACTTCGCTGGAGATCTCATGCACACTTGCATCATTTAATCTGCAAATTTATTAATAAATCGCAATATCTGGGACTCGAACCCGAGACCTCTTGGTGTAGAAACATTAATTAACCCTTGGTCAACCAATGAGCCAAGGGGGCTTCCACCATTTAGATGTTTAATACCCAATATTTTTGGATTGAAATTAAATACTTTATCTAGTTATATTATATATATATATATATATATATATTAAGTTATATGAGATTAAAATTTAATGTTTTAAATAAGTCCGTTAACGGTTGTTAACTTGCGGGTTCGGTTATATCAATAATTTATATACGAGGTATTCTATGACCACAAATAATTAGATGAGGTATTTTCATTCTAAGAAAAAAACAAATGAAGCTTGTAGGGTTTATAAGGTTTCATAACACACATGAACATAATGAATCGAAGTAGCAAAGAAGGATCGATCCATACCCGAAACCTGAAATAAATGTTTACGCTTGAATGATAATGTTGACAGTCGTCACCCGTGTATATTAATTACCACGATGTAAACTGTTTACATCAAAAACAGTAGTGGCGGAGGCAACATTCAAGGAGGGGGTTCAACTGACCCCCATAAAATTTATAAAAAATTTAATTATAGGGTAAGTTTCCTAAGATAATTAGATATTTTGGTTTCAAATATTCATAATGACCCCTATGTCATATGATCAATTTTTGTTTTTGATCCCAAGAATATTTATTTTGTCACTTAACCTTAATGTCATTTCTATTTTTGTATCTCCAAAAATCTATAATATCTTTTATTATTAAAAGATCTATAATACTCATTTACATATCAATTTTTTTCTTTGTTTTAGACATATATCCTGTTTTTTCCCTACATTCTATATTTTTTAAAATATATATTTTCTAAAGGTTATGAATCAAGGAGTTATTTATTAATTAATGTGTGGTTGACAAAAAAAAAAAGGTTATGAATATAAACACAAAAACTAATCAATCTCTACAATATATATTATATATTTTTGACAAAAAAATATTTTAATGATAAAAAGTATTTGATACAACAATATAATTTGAAAGATGAAATATGAAATATTTTAGATCTAAAACTCTATATATATATATTTCAAGAAAATAGATTTTTTAGTTTTATTTTAAGTATAAGTTTTTAAATCTTTTTGAAACCATCTAAATAACAATTTATACTTTAAATATATCATCTAATATTAATATATTAATTTTATAAAAATTAATTAAATATAATTATTATATATATGACCCCTATAAACAAAATTTCTGGCTCCGCCACGTAGAAAAAAACATATACTAAGCTAATAACATATACTAAACAAGCTAAGTAACTTATAGATATTACAGATGTTGATGCCTGAGCGTGAAATGGGGGTTTTTCAAACTTGTATTCAACGATATTATACGTTCGCCAACCACCTCAGCAGTTATACAATTATTACAAATATAATACTTTTCTAAATCCAATTTTGTTTTTATTTACCTACCATCAGTTCATTAATAGAAATATTATATATGTATAAGAAAACCACAAACCTTGAACCAGCCTGAATTATGTGAACCAGACTGTACACAAACTGTTATTCTGACTTCTGCTAAAAACCAATTGTTTGCAAGCAATTTGGTTACGTAAAATATAAATATGGAGCACTGGCCTACCAAGATCGACACAATCACAGAGTTTCTTCTTAAACCTAGCTTGCTAGCTGCCACGTCATCACTAACTTACCCTATTTAAACCCCGTCTAGGCTTCATTTTCCTTTTCATACCTAGCAATGGAAGACGAGAGAGACCACGATACAATTACTTTGTCTCTCCCATCTTTGAGCAAGCAATTGGCGGGCACCACTCTTGGAGGAAGCGCGGACGTTCCCGTCGTTGATCTAAGCGTTTCTGATGAAGACTTCTTGGTGCATGAGGTGGTGAAAGCGAGTGAAGAGTGGGGAATATTTCAGGTGGTTAACCACGGGATTCCGGAGGAGCTGATGCGGCAGCTGCAAGTGGTTGGGAAACAGTTTTTCGACCTCCCCGAGGCGGAGAAGGAAATCGTGGCGAAAGATGGAGACTTCGAAGGATACAAGAGGAAGTATCTAGGAGGTATAAACAACTGGGACCAACATCTGTTTCACAGACTCTCTCCACCCTCAATCATCAATTATAAATATTGGCCTAAGAATCCTCCTCAATACAGGTACGTTTCCTAATAAAATCGTATGAGTTTGTGATTCATGACCAATTAGCAATAAGTGGACTGACTCGTGTTTTACGTTAAATTTCATTTCCTTAACAAAATACCAAATTTAAACGTTAGATTTTTGTCCAAATTTTGGGGTGTATCAGGGAGGTGACTGAGGAGTACACAAAGCATATGAAGAGGCTAACGGAGAAGATTCTTGGTTGGTTATCAGAAGGATTAGGGTTACCGCGTGAGGCATTCACGCAAAGTATAGGTGGTGAAACGGCAGAGTATGTTCTTAGGGTCAATTTCTATCCGCCAACTCAAGACTCGGAATTAGTCATAGGAGCCGCGGCGCACAGTGATATGGGTGCAATCGCACTCATCCTCCCGAATGAGGTTCCTGGACTTCAAGCCTTCAAGGACGAACAATGGTTGGACCTTAACTATATCAACTCTGCCGTGGTTGTTATCATCGGTGATCAACTCATGGTACGTATGGTTGACTCTTTTTTTTTTTTCTTTTACTTGAGATTTGTAAATGTTTTTTTGGTTGATTTATGGATTCAAATTAACTGTAGAGGATGACCAACGGGAGGTTCAAGAACGTGCTTCACAGAGCGAAGACGGATAAGGAAAGATTGAGGATATCTTGGCCTGTTTTTGTGGCGCCTCGGGCTGATATGTCCGTCGGACCTTTGCCGGAGCTTATCGGAGACGAGAATCCTCCTAAATTCGAGACTTTAATATATAATGAGTATATAAACCAGAAGATAAAAGGCTGGGCGCTCGAAGATCTTCCTGTCTACTGAAAACCATCAAAACCCACAAATAAAGAATCCCACAGTATTGTTCAAGTAATCGTATCTTAAGTATTGTTCACGTTTTCGAGTTATGTTTTTATCTAGAGACGTGTGTGTGTTGATTATTGTTCTTTCATCTTTTCAATAACATATCAAATATATAAATTCGGGGGGTGCTAAATGACCTCCTTTCATTTAACGTGGGTCCGCTTGTGTCTCTAGTTTAAATTGTATCACACGAAACGTTTAGAACATTAGAGATAATAAACTTGAAGACTATATTGCTATTTGGATCACTTGGATACTTTTATACTTGCCACACATACTTGCACACATGCTTTTAGGTACTTGACTCACTTCCACAAGCAAAACTAAACTAATAAACCTTACAAAACAACAATCTCTTTTACCACTCTTAGCCACTATACTTGATGATTTATTTCTACTTAGCTAGACTTAAAACATCAAAACACACTCACATTTGGGCCTAATTAAGTTAATGACCCAATGACAAAACCACACAAACTTATTTCCTCTTTTCACGTCGTTGACTCCTCCGACGCGTCTTCTTCATCTTCTTAGGGTTATGCTTTGATCTTCTCAGTGACTTCTGATTCCTCTTTGTTGTTGTTCTTCTTCTCATCTTTGCCTCACACTGATTAATTGTGTCTCTTTATGCAGGATTAATTAAAGTTCAATACCAACAAATCAAAACCGGTACTCTACATGCATTTAAAGAATTCATGAGGAGATTTTAATCTCGATTCTGCTTCACTTGTTTTATCTCCAAATGTTAAAAGTTAAAATTCATGAGTAGTTACAAATGAATATTTGGCTCAGTACTACAGTAAAACCTCTATAAATTAATAACCTCTCTAAATTAATAAATTCTTCCGGTCCCGAGTTGGGACCAGTGTAAAATCGATAAATTAATAAGATAATAATTTTTTAAAAAATCTCATGTAAATATATGGTCCCGTCTATATCATAAATTAATAATTATATTAACTTATCAATATATATACATTATATAAATTTATATATCTTATATATGAATTACTATGATATATATTTAAAATATTATATGTAAAAATTTTGATGAAATATGACTCTATTATTCGAAAAAAGTTTGTGTTGTTTTTAAACTTAATAATTGTTTCTCTACTTGTAATTAGTTTTTAAAAGATATTGTTTATAAAGATAAATTTTATTTATAGATAAAAATTTCTTTAAAAATTACAAAATTAGTAAAATCTCTTTATAAATTAATAATTATTAATTTATCGATAAATTAATACCTCTCTAAATTAATAAAATTTTCTAGTCCCAATATTATTAATTTATAGAGGTTTTATTGTACTTCAATACAGACCTATTAATGGAGGATAATTATGGTTTCCTATTTTTAATTCCACATCGAACTTCCTCTTATGCCAATAATTCACTTCCTCATCTTCCATTATATTACAATCCTATTGTCTACTCTAATTTATGTTTGAGATATGACTTCAATATTTGAGGGAATTTTTTTATGGGATTGTAACTTTGGATTAGTTATTGATGGATCTTGGTTAGATTGTTTAAAAAGTAAGGACATGAATACTTTCTTGCAGATTTGATTTTTCACAATATTCATTTAATTAGATCACAACATTTTGATTATCGGAATCCAGTTTCCAAATTAAAATTTATAGTTTAGAATTTTTCTCCTAAATATTGTTGTCCTTTTTTATTATATCATATTGTTTGGCATGATGTCTTATCCCTAACTTACTTACATGGGTTCTTGAAACAAACTTACAAACATAGCCATCCATCTGAATCACACCATAGGTCTAATGTAATTGTTTCTTTGTTATTTTTTCTAATAGTCTTTTAGGATATCTAATGTAATAGATAAAAGAAGAATGTGGCTCAATAACTATGGTTGATGTCGTCTACTCGTGGCTGCCTTCTAAGACTAGCTTATGTGGTCACTTGGGACATAAAGCATCTAGGTGTTTGGGTCTAGGTTTAGAGAAGACTGTTGTTTCAGCTTGTAAAATGGTACTCCTCCTTTGAATGAGAATAGCATTGTCAATGCTTCAACCATGTCATTAGATACGGCTATTGTTTCTAATGGTGCAGCGATAATGAAAGGGTTTCACCAAACAGTTGTTGACTCATCGGTTAAACCCCATCAAGTTGTTGTAAATCCTAACACCGAGTTTCTCTCCTCTTCAAACTCAAAAGAAGAAGCTGTCTTTGGCTTGAGATCAATAGCAATTACTGATGCAAGTAAGGATGTGTTTGTCGTTCATCAGCTAGTTGAGAAGGACGTCTTGCAAATTTCAGATTCAACTACTGCCATGCTTTCTTCAACCATGAAAGTGATGGCTACTCCCGCAAAAGTCTCCTCAAATATAACTACCTCTGCTTCAGGGGTCAAATCTAGTACTAATACTTCTTTCCACAAAGCTTCTAGTTCAAAATAATTTGCGGTGTTGAATTTAGCATCGGATGTGGTGCTGCCCGAAGATTCAGACATGGTTGATTCTGACAAGTCTGAGGACTCAGATGAGGATCTCATAATGAATCAAAAGTCACCATTTTCAGAAAAACATCTCCACGACAGACCGTTGCAATTGTCGAACAAGGCAATAATTATTGGTCGTGGAGGAAGAGGAAGACGCGGTCTCGAGGAAATCATGGTCGACGAGGTGGGTTTGGCTAAACCCAATTAGTCAAAATTGGTTTCAAAACGTTTCTTTATTTCCCTAGTTTTCATGCTTTGGAATCTTTTGTGTGCTTTGTTATTCTCTTCCGCTTTGTTGAACTGTATGATCACCATTGTACCATCTTGTAACAATTTTATTTATAATAGAACTAAAAAAAAAGTAATAGATAAAATTTTAAACCAAATTTCACCGTAGTAAATTGTAATATTTCATTACAAATAAATTATCTTTGTAAGAGAAAAATAAGTCAAGGAAGTAAAATTACATGTATGAGAAAAATAAGTCAAGGAAGTAAAATAAGTCATGTACTTGACTTAATTTCATTACAAATAAATTATCTTTCGAAATTAAATTACATGTAAGAGAAAAATAAGTCAAGGAAGTAAAATTTTGTGACCAAAGAAAAAAGAAAACTTAGAAGCAAAAACAAAACGAATAGAATTAATATCATTTACTTTCTTTCAGTGTGATGATTGTTGTAACAACTCTTAAATGTGCATTGGATATATCGTTTGGATCTACATATTTAATTAGGTTGTTACCTAATTAAAAGAGTCAAAGATTCAGTTTTTTAATTAAGGTATATATTGGTGTTGTCAACCTAATTCAACCTAGTAAATATGCAAGGATTTTAATTCAAAAATCTAATATATATAAACTTCTTAGGTGAAGTAACTTTTGAAACTTATACAAAAACTTAAAATAATATATACTCTTTGAAACTATGAATAATCTTTTCGTTTTGGTCGTTGTAATTGCTTTGAGTATAGGATTGAACAACGGTAGCAGACTCTTTCCAAAAAACCAATTATATTTTAGAAACTCTTTAAGCAGGAATGATGATGTTCTTACGGTTCATTGCAAATCTGATGACGACGATCTCGGTATTCACTCAGTGCAACGTTCATACGAATATGGTTTTAAGTTTGGGGATAGCCTTCTCCATTTGACTGCGTTTGTCTGTACACTAGAGCATGGGGTCAGTTCTAAATATTCTGTAACGTTTACTGCATATATAGCGAATCCTTTTTTTATAAGTACCGGTGTCATTAAACTTTGGGTTGCTTTTGATGATGGGATCTACCTCACAGATGAAGATCATGATTTAGTGAAAATTTATAGTTGGCCTAAAATTTAGTTTTCATTAAGCTATACTATGTTTAGTCTTGATGTCCATAGATTTCAAGATATAAATTATAAGAGAATAATACTTAATATATTGGATCTTCGAAATTATATGCAAAAGCCTGAAACATATTTCCTAGTAATCTATTTGATCTAACAAATCCCAGTTCACAATACATCATATAAGCAATACAATTGTTCGATTATACCTTGAATTGCCTTAGTGAGATTCTATAATTAAGATGAATTCTATGCGTTTTTATCAATTAATAATCTAAATGCATCAACGATCAATCGCGGAAGTATTTTAGATGTCGAACCACAAGGAATAAAGATTGCAACACTAAAGATGCGAGATTCAAACTAATCTAGAGGAAATGATTTTTATGTTTTTGTTTTGATGAAAAGATAAGAAAGCAAGAAGTAAAATAAAGAAAAGCATTGGACCATGGGTTTAACTATCATGAGAATGGACTAACAATCAAACAATGATGCAAGAGGTTGAATTAAGCACCATCCTAGAACATGAAACTCAAAAATATGACTAATCCACTTCCATGGTACTAATCACTTCACTAATCATCTAATCATCAACAACTTCCGTTCGCAATCAAATGATCATTGAGCATTAATAACAAGTTCAATTGGTTCACTAAACACTCTAATCATCAACTCCCGTTGGCTAGATATGTAAAGCTCATAAAGGTTTAGTTCAAGCATTTTCACAAACACCTTCCAGGCATGAATTGCTTAAGGTCTATGATATGTCTATATTTTACTTGTTTTGAGCATCCATTTAGCATCACTTTATCATCATTTCGTCATTGTTTCATACCATTCTTCATCATTTGTCATCACTTTGCATGATTAGGGTAGTTTTGCATGCATGTTGCATATTTGAGTTGTTTCAGGTGCTTCGGGGCTATTGGTGTTCAGAAAGAGGAAAAACATAGCTGAAAGTCACATTTGGACCATTCTGCTCGATCACCAGTAGCAGAGAGGGAAGCAGTCAGCTCAGCAGACCATCAGGAGTGTTCTGCTCGATCACAGGGCAGTCCATCCTGCCAGTTCACAGTTCTGCTCGACCACAGGGCAGTCCATCCTGCCAATTCACAGTTCTGCTCAATCACAGGGCAGTCCATCCTGCCAGTTCACAGTTCTACTCGATCACAGAGGAAGAGGAGCAGTCCATCCTGACAGTCTACCCACATACTCGATCGCAGGGTTGAAGAAGCAGTCCAGAGCGTGCCACCAACCAATCTACTCGATCACCACCTCCCCGCAGCCACTTGATCACAAGCTTCACAGTCTTCTCAGATCCCAACTCAACCAGACATTGAGCATAAGGAAGAGAAGAGGATGAAGCAGAACTCGAGCACATACTCGACCCAAATGCTCGATCACGACATGCCCAGAGCAAGAAATCGCAAAGGCGCCAACTTTATTCAACCTCTCTACTCGATCACAAGGGTCGAGTATCTCCGTAAACCGCCTTAATACTTTGTCGTCTTGTGATTTAGGGTTTCCTAGTATTTGCTATAAAGAGGTTGTTTCTCATAATTTTGAGAGGAAGTTTTATTCTGTCTAAGTCTTTTTCTGCAAAACAATTAGTGCTTTCTTCATATTTATAATCCAGATTTCTCTTAATCTATTGAGTATTTGCTTTTGATTTCTTCTACAAAGTTGTTCATCTTGTTGAGATCTTGCTAGTATGAAGTTTTTATGCATTTCTGGGTTTATGTTCATGTTCATGAGTTTTGAGTAGTGATTAGGATTCTTGAGGATGGGTTAGAGTAGTTTAGAATCCTTGATCTGCTAGGTGGTTGAGTTTGATTGGTAGATCCCTTCTGGATTAGTTGTTCTTAATGCTGATTGCTTTCTGATCAACTGGAATCTGAGCCCAGACATTTCCGCACCCAAAAGGTGTTCGATGAAATGTCTGAACCACTAATTCCAGAGATTCGTGGCTCTGTACCAAGGTATTGGTTACAGGGAGCGTTTTGGCTTAGACTTGTTGTTTCGTAATGCCTGTTAGGTTAGCTCTCGTCAATGGTGATTGAGTCTGGGACTAGCTTTGCTTGAGGATCTCTGTTGCGGTAGCACTTTGATTTGGCTATTGAACTTGTTGTCTAGGGATAGTTTGTTGAGCATGTTAACCACCTGTTAGATTAAGAAGACTTCACTACTCGATCACCCCATCCTCGGGAATTTCTCTTCCATTTGATTTCTTTGTTTACATCGCTATTAATTGCTTGATCTGGTTACTTGTTGCTCAGTTTTATCATTTCTACCCTGTTTCATTTGAAGTACTCGACCACACCCAGTAGTTTGGTAACAAACTGTGCAGTCGAGTACCCTGTTTACAGTTTCTGTTAAATTACTCGACCTGATACTCGACCACATCCAGTGCTTGGGGTCAAGCTGTGTGATCGAGTATATTGCCTGTTATAGTTAGAATTTATGTTATCTGCATGATCGCTAGAGCTGTTAACAACACCAAAACCTGCTATTGCTTGGCTTGACTCTGTGATATCTGATTGCATCTTGATTGCTAGCATCACACCCATTTGGATTGACACCTTAAATACTACAATGACATGATAGTACTTTAAGGATAATTGATCTTAGCTAAAATCCTACTATCAATTTGTTATGTGCTCGAGTTCTGCTTCATCCTCTTCTCTTCCTTATGCTCAATGTCTGGTTGAGTTGGGATCTGAGAAGACTGTGAAGCTTGTGATCAAGTGGCTGCGGGGAGGTGGTGATCGAGTAGATTGGTTGGTGGCACGCTCTGGACTGCTTCTTCAACCCTGCGATCGAGTATGTGGGTAGACTGTCAGGATGGACTGCTCCTCTTCCTCTGTGATCGAGTAGAACTGTGAACTGGCAGGATGGACTGCCCTGTGATTGAGCAGAACTGTGAATTGGCAGGATGGACTGCCCTGTGATCGAGCAGAACTGTGAACTGGCAGGATGGACTGCCCTGTGATCGAGCAGAACACTCCTGATGGTCTGCTGAGCTGACTGCTTCCCTCTCTGCTACTGGTGATCGAGCAGAATGGTCCAAATGTGACTTTCAGCTATGTTTTTCCTCTTTCTGAACACCAATAGCCCCGAAGCACCTGAAACAACTCAAATATGCAACATGCATGCAAAACTACCCTAATCATGCAAAGTGATGACAAATGATGAAGAATGGTATGAAACAATGACGAAATGATGATAAAGTGATGCTAAATGGATGCTCAAAACAAGTAAAATATAGACATATCAACTCCCCCAAACTTAGTCTTTGCTTGCCCTCAAGCAAACAATTAAGAACAAGCTGGAGGAGAGGTTTGAAAGCGGGGACTCAGAACCAAAGCATGCAGACAAAGCAAATGAACTCAATGTCCAAGTTAGTAATTGTGGAATGCTTAGAGACCAAACTCTACTTAAAAACTTTAGCCATATTCATCACAAGACAACCTAACATTTGTTCCAATCTACACACACCTTCAGATCATCAATTCCCTTTAACATTGATTAAGCTCAAACCATGAATTAAGCAAAACATTGTTGAAGAACTCATTTGGTTTAAAGGACAAGGCTGAGAAACAAAGATGGTTCCTCTGTAAATGGTTTCAGACTTTTTCACAGTAGCAGGGAACTCTCATGAATGGACAGAGCTTTAGTAGAATGCTAAAGGTTAGAACCAACCTACGCATACAAGAACAGACCCCATCTACCCAAATAACCATAAGTATATCAAACTCCATAGATGGTCCTATCTCTAAACCCCATAAATGATCCTAATTCTACCCTTTTGCACTCAAGGCATGCTTCAATAATCTCTTGGATCAACCCATTCTTTGTTTTTGGTTTTTGTTCTAAGGAGAGGTTTTCTTTTAGACTTTCTAGCGGATTGGGACTTTCTTTAACAACTAAGGCTCTTCTTCTCATCTCATGACTTAAGACAACTTTAGGCTTTTACCTTTCTTTTTACTTTGCATAGAGCCTAACTTCTTTTATTTTCATGCTTCCCAATTCCTTTACTAGACTAACATGATATTCTTTTCTGTTTCACTTCCATCTCCTAAGAACAATAACACTTGTCTTTCTTTCTCATTTTTATTCTAAACACATTCCCAAACCCAAAGTAAAACTCCCACCTAGTCCTATCTAGCCCAAAAAGCGTGGACTAGAACTACATGGGATACCATTCTTGTCGGTTTATACCTAACACTTTCTACCAAGCTCAATCCGGAAATAGGCCTCACACACACAAATTTATTCAGGGCTTGAAAGAAAGGTTAGGTTCAGGGTGGGGGAAACTGTTCCAATGATGGGAATCAGCTACTTGGATTAGCAAGAGTGGTAGAAGGTGAAAGAAAATCCAAGTATGTGTATTGGTAGCCACAAGTTCAACAACAATGCAAAGATATGATAATTATAAGTCAAGTTCAGGTTCTAATAGATAGGGAAAAGAATCACATCAAGCATGCTTCAATTAAAACAAGAGAGTCAAGTTGTGAATTCCAAATATGGTGCTGTCTTACTTCAAGTTCTATCACAAGCATTAAACAACTAACAACGAGGGCATTGAATTCATTCAGTAAATGAGCAAGCTTACAAGGTTATCTCATCATCATCCCCTATGCATATGCATGATGCAACAATCCTAAGTGAAAGCATACTAAAACAATCCTAAAATGACAATGCAAACTACATGAACACTCTCTTTTTGTGAAACCATTTTCAGAAATTTTTCAAATTTTTAGTGTTTTTTTTAATGACAAAGATGAATGCAGACAATATGTACAATGCAAGAAAAATTTGAAAACAAGAACAACGCAAACTCATCAAATACTTCCTGAGCCCTCCCCCAAACTTAAATTACACAGTCCTCTGTGTAACAAACATTTGGAAGAGAGTACTCAGGACAAATAAATAAAGAAAGAAGACATGAGATGGTATAAACAATGGGGAAGTGGAGTTGTTACCTCAACTGAAGAAGGAGTTGATGTGCTCATC